TCAGAGCTTGCATGCAAATGGTTGAAGATGCCTTGGAGCTAGTATTTCACAAGTACAAGCAAGTATGCTGCTAAAGACCTGAGAAGAGACTATGGTATTTGAACTCAGAAAGTAATAAAAGCACTGACTCCAGAACCATCTGCAGCAACTATAGCTGCCTCTGTCTCAGTGACTCTTAGTACTTAATTCTGGACCTTTATATTTTTAATATCTTCATGGACACATAGTGTAGTTGGCACACTCTATAGGCATGCCATTATGTAGTTTTTTTTAGTTTTAATAGTATTACTCCCCTCTCTATAGATGTGACAGTAAGAATTGTGCACAAAGTAAGTTCTGAATAACAGTGACATATACTTATTGTTAGGCCTGAGTGATATGTGAACTAAGACACATAGTAAATAAGCACTGTATCACATTTGTATAATCACACTTAAGTCCATTTGATGTATTTATAGTTGTTGTATTCTAAAATCAATATAAGTAGTTGACACAAGATAAAGCAGTAGAATAAAGAATAGTTTGAGACTAGAGATAGATTGTCTTATTATCAGAGTGTCAGCTATATATCATAAAACATGAGCATTATGCTGACTAATCACTCCTATAGTCTAAGCACTGGATAGATGCTCTGACTAAGCATGGATAGGAGTTAATTCTGTAAGAATAAAAGGAAAAAAAAGGAAAAATTATAACACTTATATTATATGACTAATGTGGATACTATATAACAAATGTAGACACTGCAATATAACTCTTTCTTGCTTCATAAAGTTGGAAATAAACTAAAGAACTAAGAACAGTTGATAATAATAAGTGATACTGAACCCTAATGCATATAAAAAGCCTTAAGGACAGACAGTCACTAACCAAGACAAATCCTATCCTAAAAAAGAATAGTAATAATCTAACAGTGCTGATCTGGAAAAGTAACTAAGCTGCTAATCCAGAAATAGTATGGCACCCATTTTACAGTGTAAAATTGAAAAAGAAATTAACTTAAGGTAATAAAATAAAGTAAACAGGTTTAACTTAGAAAATATAGCAATAATTCAGAAATTGAACTAAAATAATAAGACAACTGTGATTCTGAATAAAGAATTTAGGGCATTTGAACATATCAAAAGGTATATCTGAAACTCAGAGGATCCACATGCACCTATACATTTGATTCTCTAAGTCCTATTAGCTTTATAATTTGATTTAACATGAGTATTACATAATTTTTATTATTAGAGCCTGGTAAAGGCCATTCTGACAGATACATGAGGGACAGTAATGGCAGTGTAGGGTTAAAACACAAAGATGGCAATCAGCTGGCTATCTGTGCCTCTGGCAGCCAGATTAATGTAATTTCAGCTGGATCAGAGATGTTAAGTCAGACTTGCATCTCTTCAGCAAATAGTATATGATGGTTGACAAACTTACCATCAGGTTTCTCTCCCTCTCCTCTTCTGAAGCTCATAAATAAGAATGCTAGGCAATTCTATAATAATGGGCTGAAAGCATTAAAGGGAGACACTGAGCAACAAAGGAGCAATGCACCCTCAGAAATAGCAATGCAAAAGAATTTTGGAACTACAATAGGCTCTGTAAATATTAAAGAAAAAGGTACCAACCTTTTGAAGTGGAGCACAATACAACTATTTATGAAAATAAATAGAATTGGCATTTTAGCAATCTAAGAGACTAAGCTAACACAGATAGATATTAATATGATAGAAAGCTGCAATTGGTTAATAAAGATAGTACACTCTGGCACAAACTCATAAGCTGAAGGTGTTGCAATAGTATTGATATGCTAAGTGCTAGATAATAGCAAAGAAATAAAGTGCATAGACCTGATTGAGGGCTGTCTAATGGGAGTACAAATAGTGACCCAAAAAAATAGAATTATAAATATAATAAATAGTTATGCACCTAATAAAGACCAAGAAAAAGTAGCATTTCTTAAGGAGACATACAATGCAATCAAAAATCTGAAAGATATACTTAGAGACTCTATTATTGCTAAAGACTGAAACTGTGTTATAAAAGCAATAGACAGATTACCCTCATATAAAGATGCACAAGAAGTTGAAAAAACAATAGAAGCCTTTCAAGATGACTTACATCTCACTGATAGATAGAAAAAAGCAAATGAAGATAAAATAGGTTTTACATTTAGAATAAAAACAGCCATGAGTATGTCTTAGTCAAGAATTGATAGAATATATGTAAAACAAATAATGTGGAATAGAACAAATAACTAGAAGCATTTAAATCTGCCAGATGGAGTATCTAACCATGATGTGGCAACAGTCATGCTTATGCCAGAGAAAATGCCAGTAATTGGTAAAGGCATATAGAGACTACAGAATAAAATAATTTCAGATCTAGAGTTCTTAAAGAAAGCAGAAGAGATCCTAAAGAAATAGAGTGAGAGTTTACAAAGATATGAGACAAAAGCTGGGTTGTTAATAAAAAAAGAGCTAACAGAATTTTGAATGAAAACTAATCCACAAATCTTAAATGAAAAGGCAAAAGAGGATATTAAACAGACTGCAATAAAAATAGGAAAAGAAAAGACTCAAAAGAAAAATAAAAAGCTGACACAGTTAAACAAAGAAGCAGGATGAACATTGAAAAAGATAAAAGCATGTACAAATGAAGAAACCATAGTACTTCAGACAAAACTAGGCTTATTGCACAAAAAGATAAGAGAGAAAAAGCTAGCAAATACTAAAAAAGCAAAAATAAAAGGGAGAGCCAGTTTCAAATCTCAAAATGAAAAGAGTTCAAAGTGGTAGTTCTCTCTAGCTGCTGTTAATAGGCAACCAGAAATTATAAAGGAACTGTATGATGAAGAAAGTGTAACTGATAAAACAAAGAAAATGATTAATGTAGCAAAAAGACACTATGCTAAAATGCAAGAAACATCAGAATTAGATGAGAAAAGAAAGCAGGCAATTGAAAAAATGAAAAGCACTATATAAAACAAGCTAATAAATGTAGAAGGACAAATATTTAAGGACAAAACAAAAAAGAAAGAAACTATAAAGGCACTAAAAGAAGCTGATCCAAATACAGCATCAGAACCAGATGGTATAACATACAAATTCTGGAAATTATAGCTAAGAAAGAAATCAATTATAGACATAGGATATCTTCTGATGGCTGTGATAAATGATATAAAAAATTTTGGAGTCTATAATGAAAGAAAAATAGAAGAACTGATATATTTACTATACAAGAAGAATAACAGACAAAAGATAGAAAACTACAGACCAATTACAATGATCAATACTGACTATAAGATCTATACAAAAGTAATAGCAACTAAGCTGGGGGTAGTATGCAAAAACCTATTGCATGAAAATCAAGCAGACTTTGTTCCAGGACAAAGTATAACAGACTATACAAAAACAAATGAACTGATGTCTGAGTACTGTGAATTAATAGGAATAAATGGGGTGATAGTAGGTCTGGACCAAGAAAAAGCATACGATAAGATAGTACATGACTATCTATAGAAAATTCTTAAAGCATATAACTTTCCAGAAGCCTTTATTAAGATAATACAAAGTCTGTATGAGAAGGCAGAAACCTGAATAATGGTAAATGGAATAATTCCAAGCCCAGTAAAAATAAAGAGAGGTGTAAGACAAGGCTGTCCAATATTATGCCTGTTGTATAACTTAGTAATAGAACTGCTAGGAAACTTAATATGAAAATCTGGAATAAAGAGAATCCCTGTAGAGGGAAGTAAGGAAAATCTAAAAGTAAATCTATTTGCAGATGATACTTTAGTCTTTATGCAAGTAACAGACAAGCTTAATAAACTAGAAGAAATAGTACAGAGTTTTTGTAAAGCATCAACAGCAAGTTTCAATAAAGATAAGACAGAATATCTATCTATAGGATCATCAGAACACAGAAAATATATAAGAGAAACAGGAAAATTAAATAATAAAGACACTGCAACAATAGATGTAGAACATATAAAAACAGACTCAGAACTAATGCAAACATTAGGTTGTTATATAGGAAATAATGTATGTCAGGATATAATTTGGGACAAAATTATGAAGAAATGCCATGATATACTAGAAACCTGGAAATCTATACACCCTTCTCTGAAAGGAAAGGTACTGATACTAAAGGCACTAGTAATGTCTCGAACTCAATATCTTGGAACAGTAAATAGTATGTCCAAGTGGGTCCAAAAAAAGCTAATAAAAATAGAAACAGACTTCCTCTGGGATGGCTGCCAGCCATTTATGATATGGAATCAGATAATAGCTCCAAGAAATGAAGGAGGTATAGATGCACCTGATCCTAGAGCAAGGTCCAATGCAATGGCAATAAAATGGGTACAACAATGGCTTCAACCTCAGAAAAAGAAAAAGTTCTGGGCTCTAATGATTGATGCCTTCTTAAGAAACAGTGCAAAGGTAAATATGGAAAAGAATAATGAAAGTCTTCTGACACATTACATTATACAAAACTGGGATGTCAAAACCAACTCTCATACACATAAATTGCCAAAGTCAATACAACATATAGTACAAGTGATTAAAAAGTATAACATCCATATAAATGCTGGAAAAATAGATAATAAGATAAAAGCAGATGCTCCTCTATGGTACTATCATGCACTATCAACAAAACATAGAATGTCAAAAAAGTCAGCAAAGTGCCTTCAAAATATTCATAAAATAATAACAATTGGTGATGCAAAGGAAGCAATGGCTTTCAGATATGAATCTCCCAAACAATGCAGAAACCCCAAAATGTGCCACAACTTCTTAGATGAAATGATGATCCAAATAGGTGAAAAATACATTCCTCAAGGCTCACCAACATGTGATAACCTAGACTTCACTGTAAGAAGAAAAAAGAAACAGATGATGGCAGATCTAAAGACAGACAAAATAACAGCTAATCCAGATATAACTGAATGCACATCAATTAAAAATGCAGTATGAGTATTTGGAATGAAAAGATTGATTGCTACTCCAAGAAAGCCTGCAAGACGTGGTCTCCCACCTCATATGCACAAGGAAAGAATTATATATGGTGATGGCTCCTGCATACACAATGGATCAGAGAATGCAACTGCTGAAACAGAAATATGGGAAGATAGTGAGAATGGAATACAAGAATCAAAAAGGATAACAGGAAACCCTCTAGGAATACAAAGAGAAGAATTAGGAGGAGCAATTTTAGCAATGCTAAGAGTACCAAAAAACAATGAACTAACATATATGACAGACTCAACATATACTGTCACTACTCTTACTAAAAATCTGAAGAAAATAAAAGACTCAGGCTTTCTGAAAACAGCAAACAAAGATATGATTGAAAAAGCTGCATATTTAATATGAACTCGAAGAGCACCCACTCACTTCAAATGGGTGAAAGAGCATGCTAATATTCTTGATAATGAAAAAGCAGATAAACTGGCAAATATAGGGAGAGACCTAGAGCCAGATAATGAATTTGATGAGATTATAATTTCAGAGGAATTTTGGATAGTAGGAGCCCATCTACAAATATTAGAATTCAGTGATATGTATACTGGCTGTTTAAATATCTATAAAGAAGAAGTCAAAAGTAGTCTAAGACATAAGGCACTAAGAGAAGATGCAAAAGATGAGATAGAGAGAATTACAAGCCTCTGACCAACAACAAAAGCCCTGTATGAAGGTCTGTGGAAGCAACCTTTCCAAAACAAGATTGCAGATTTTATATGGAAGACAATACATGATGTCAACAAAGGTGGTAAATACTTCAAACATTTCAAGCCAGAAGCACAGTATTGTGCATGTGGAGAAATTGAGTCAATGGATCATATTCTTCACAGATGTGAAAAATCAGGACAGTCAAAAGTTTGGAAAAGAATAGGAAAGCTATGGGAGAAAATGTTTCAAACAGAGTGGAACCCAAGCTCAATAGGAATAGTTCAAGGAATAGGTAGTTACAGAAAAATGAATGAAGACAGAACACAAAATATTCAGTCCTTCTGATATAAACTGCTCATCAGTGAAACAGTATGGGCACTATGGAAAGCAAGAAATGAATGTGTTCTGAATGAGAATGTACTGCCATGAAAAAGCATTCTCTCAGAAATAGAGAGAAATATATGTGAGAGAATTGAAGTAGACTGGTACAATAATAGATTCAAAAGAAAAGATAGAGTGAAAAAGTTTGAAAAAAGATGGTGTATGCACAAACTACTGTGTGTAGTACACTGCTGCTCAAACTCTGATTACGGTGATTTCATAGTCACAAAGAGTATCTGGACTTTCCAGCAACTCTCAGCCCACAGTTGCATCAAATATAAGACTGAAGGGACCACTCTGGCTCAGGCCTAAGCAGGTTTTTAGTGGGTCGAAGGAGGTATTTGAAAGGCTATGATGTAAAGTAGCTGAGTAATCTAAAACTAGGATCACTTGTCTGCGTGCAAGCCCTAGGCCTCTAGCTAGTAGATAGGCAAGACCTTATGGGATAAATCCCTAGGTCCTGCTGCTAGTGTTTTCACCCCCACATAACAGCACTTGTGTTAAACAAATGCTGTACGTTTTGCAAGATAGATAGGATCTGGTTACTATGTAACTGAGGGTCCCGTCAATCTTGAAAAAATGTTTTCCTGCTATACCAAAAAAAAAAAAAACGATCAGATACCGTTGTAGTCTTAACAGTAAACTATGCCGACTAG